GGTTTAGGGTTTAGGGTCTGGAATTTCGTGGCACTGGCTTGCAAAACCTAGCAAACAGAGACACTGGAATATGAAGAAAGCCAGCTCTCGGATGCTCCCCTCACCCTAGACCATAAAATCTCAACCCTAAACCCGACGCCGCAAACCCGCCCCAAACCCTAAACCCCAGTCCCGAAAACCCAAACCCTAATCCCGAAACCCCAAACCCTAAGCCCGAAACCCCAAACACAAACCCCCGAAACCCTAAACCCACAGCCCGAAACCCCACACACTACCCCCCAAAACCCCCAAATCCTAAGCCTCAAAGCCCCAAAGCTCCAAACCCTGAAATCCAAAACCCTAAGCCCCAAAGCCTCAACCCCAAACCCTGAAGCCCTGAACCCTAAGCCCCAAAGCCTAAACCCCAAAGCCTAAAACCCAAAACCCTAAACCCCAAAGCCTCAACTCCAAGCCCTGAAGCCCAAAACCCTAAGCCTCAAAGCCTCAACCCCAAACCCTGAGGCCCTAAACCCTAAGCCCCGAAGCATAAGCTCCAAAACCTAACCCCTGAACCCTGAACCCTAAAGCCTAAACCCCAAACCGCAAAAACCTAAACCCTAAACCCCTAAACCCTAAACCCTAAACCCCTAAACCCCAAAACCCAAAACCCTAAAGCCTAAACCCCTAAACCCTAAACCCCAAACCCCAAAAACCTAAACCCCTAAACCCCAAACCCTAAACCCTAAACCCTAAACCCTAAACCCCAAACCCCAAAACCCCAAAACCCTAACCCCTAAACCCCTAAACCCTAAACCCCAAACCCCAAAAACCTAGACCCTAAAGCCCCGCAGAGACTCCTCAGTGCTGTCTTCACGCCCTCCATTCCTTTCAACGTCTCCGGCTCCTTCTTGCCGAACCTAGGGTTTAGGGTTTAGGGTTTAGGGTTTAGGGTTTAGGGTTTAGGGTTTAGGGTTTAGGGTTTAGGGTTTAGGGGTGTTAAAGGAAGCTACAGGTGGGGAGTTTAGGGATAGGGCTTCTATAAGGCTTCTATAAGGTATATAGACCTTCTATAAGGCTCCTATATGGGGAGTTTAGTGATAGGGCTTCTATAAGGCTTCTATAAGGTATATAGACCTTCTATAAGGCTCCTATATGGGGAGTTTAGGGATAGGGCTTCTATAAGGCTTCTATAAGGTATATAGACCTTCTATAAGGCTCCCATATCTGCAACTACCCACCTGAACATGTCCTAGACTGGGGGCCCGGAGCCGGGGCTGGAGATTTTATGCTTCGAAGTTGGGTTTAGGGTTGAGGGTTTAGGGTTAAGGGCTAGGGTTTAGGGTTTAGGGTTTAGGGTTTAGGGTTTAGGGTTTAGGGTTTAGGGTTTAGGGTTTAGGGTTTAGGGTTGAAGGTTTAGGGTAAGGATTAGGGTGTAGGGTTAGGGTTTACAATTTAGGGTTTAGGGTTTAGGGCTTCTAGTTTCTAGTAGATTAATTATGGTATGTTATGGTATACTCTAGTAGACTATAGTTGTTAAGGTTTAGGTTTTAGGGCCTCAGGTTTAAGGGTTTACGGTTTGAGGTTTGGGGTTTAGGGGTTGAGGTTTAGGGATTAGGGCTTAGGGTTCACGGTTTAATTGCACTTAAGGTTATGAGAAGGGCCAGTAGTATGGGCCTGTTGTTTTGTTTGCAGGGTTTTCGGGCTTCTTGAACATAAAATGTAGAAGGGTCCTGACAACGAGGATCCTACGGTTGAGATTTAAGAGTTTGGGGCAGCAAGGTTTCGGGTTTAAGGGCGTGTTTTGGAGTTAGTGCAAAGGTGCTACGGTTTAGGGCTTGGTTTTTGTCCCCAGAGTAGCCATACGTAGCCATGGCGAGGGGTTCCGGTTCAGATAGGATCTCCTGGTGAGGAGGAATATTCCTACCCAAAGCCCTCAACCCTAAACCCAAAGTCCAGAACCCTAAACTCTCGGAAAAAAACTTCAGGACCGTCCGGATGTTGGGGGTTTAGGGTTTAGGGCTCAGCACTCCCAGTGCTGAATTACACACAACAGTATGCCACCCTCTTTGTATATTACAGGAACGCCCATGCATCGCAGGAGGGGCCCCTCCTCTCAAAACACCCGGACACCCCAAAGCAAAGCCCAAACATGCAAACAAAAATGGGCAAGCGCCAAACTCTACATCGCCAATCCTTAAACCCTGAAACATCACCCGCATTCCTTGGCAATAAGCAACAAAACTGAAAGACTTCCAAACCACCTTCAACAGACGGAAAATGTCTGCAAACTCCAGCTTTCAGGCCTTAATCATGAGACTGGGATTGCGGACACAAGAAACTGTAGCTATTCTGGACTATAGGAGGGTACTATGCTTAGTGAGGCTTTCAGGGGCTTGAGACAAACCCTAAACGCCGAATCCGCTCATCCCCAAACCCTAAACTCTAAACCCTAAAACCCCTAATCCGCTAATCCCCAAACCCTAAACCCTAGACCCTAAACCCTAGCTTCATGGTTTTATTGGGGCCTTTCAGGGTGGATCTGGGTTTGGCGGGCTGCTCTTGTGAAGACCCAGAGGACCAGAGCTGTAAGCTCCGACATGTGAAGCACCCCTTGGGTACTTCCCCCCCACCCTGTAACGCTCTATATAGGGATCATGTTAATGGGCTCTGTATACGTATATTATAAGTATGTTAAAAATATATTATAAGTTATAAGTACATTATAAGTATATTATAAGTATGCCATAAGTATATTATAGGTATAATATTAGAAGTATAATATAATATAAGTCTGTCATTATAGGTATATTCTGAGTATATTATCTAACTGTTGCAGAGTTGGGGCCCTAACCCAAAGCATCACCGAACACGGGTTTGGGCTTCAAGCCTCCGGAGACTCTGGCACCCATTGAAACCCGAAAACCTTTGAGGGTTTAGGGTTCAAGGTTTAGGGTTTAGGGTTGAGGGTTTAGGGTTTAGGGTTTAGGGTTTAGGGATGAGGCTTTAATTCCTAAGCCCTAAACCCTAAACCCTAAACCCTGATTAGGGTTGAGGATTTAGGCTTTAGGGCTTGATTAGGGTTTAGCACCTGTTTAGGGTTTAGGTTCAAGCCTAAGCCTTCGCCAGGGCCCGGGCAAGGACTTCTCTTCCTGCCGCAGCTTCGTCATGTTCGCCTGATAGTAGTAGTACTGGGGTCTCGATTACCACTAGGCCTTAATAATTAGAATATGGTTTTGGAGTACATTATACTATAACTATAATAAGAAATCCCCAAACTGGTATAGGCAATTGTTGATGCCCCTATATTTTTCGGAGCACCACAAAATTCCACATCTTCACTTGAAGACGGGGTTGACCTTTCTGTATGAGGGCTTCTGGGCCACATGTTAAGAGCTGAAACGACACGTGAGATGAACTACCTGAACCCTTAAACCCCCCCAAACCCTAGACCCAGACAAAAAACCCTAAACCCTAAACCCTAAACACAAAGACAAAGCAAGCAGTGACGAGTTGGTGTTCCGTCAAGGACTCAATGGCGACACGCAGGGCATCGATCCTTGAAGGGCTTAGGCTTCTACAGTTCCGGTCTGAGGCTTCTTCATAACTTGAAGGGTTTAGGGTTTAGGGTTTAGGGTTTAGGGTTTAGGGTTTAGGGTTTAGGGTTTAGGGCTTAAGGTTTAGGGCTTCGGGTTTAGGGTTAAAGTTTCAGAGCAGAGGGCTAAATTCTAGGCGTGGGGCTGAAGGGCTTAGGGTTTAGGGTCTTTAGCTTCTTCAACGAAACTCTAGCCTTTTTCAGGCGATGGGCTTCGGGGTTCCTGCAACCCCCTGGACGTCTCCTATCACCCAAACCCGACAGGAAGCCCAAGACCCCCTTACAGTAAAGCCCAAACCCGAAACCCTAAACCCCTGAAGCCCCTGAAGCCCTGAGGCCCTAAAGCCCTCAACCCCTCAAACCCTCAGCCATTGGATTGTTTTTTGGGGGCGGCTAAAGGCGGCGGGGGACCGGGTATCGAAGCCTTCGGTCCTAAGCCGAAGTCTCGCACCTCGGTCTCTGCCAACACCGCCAACTCCTTGTTGATGTCGGCCTCAGAGATTTTCGGGTTGAGGCCGCAAAAAAAGCCAGAACCCCTTAAACCACTATACAGACCCCTAAACCCATGAAGCCCAACCACGCTGAAAAACTGGACCCTAAACTCCCAAATCGCGATAGAACCCCTACAAAAAATTCTCGACAACCTTCAAACCCTTACACACCCCCATAAACAGAGCTTGCAAACCTCAAGCTTAATGGACTCTCATGATAAAAAAAAAACGCTTCATAAACGCCCGTGAGAAGTACAAACCGACGGAGTCTGAGCTTGTGGCCACTTCCTTCTTCAGGGACGCAGACTTTGAGGCCGCGCTGTCGATCTTGGTGCCTTACAAAGCAGAGTCCTAGCGTCCTATCGAGAGTGTGTAGAGTGTGCTTTAGGTTTAGGGTAGAGGGTCTCAAAGCAGCCGCGCTTAGTTCGTTTTCCTAAACCGAGCCACAACTCCCCGAACCCTTGCTTCTAAACCCAACAATACATCCAAAACCCGATCAACCCCCACCGCACCCCTGAACCCTAACCTGTAAGCCGTAGACTTTTCGCAAACCCTTGTCTTTGACTTGAAAGCCCTTTATTTCAACGAACCGCTTAAGTCACCCAGGTCAAGATAGTGAGGCATACCCTGAAACCTCATAGAAACCCTTGTAGACCCAGTATATCAGCGGGCTCCTGAAGCTAGGCCGGGCAATCCCAACTAAGAGTCCTTATACAAAGGATCCTTGACCCTAAACTCCCTAAACGCCCTAAACTCCCTAAACTCCCTAAACTCCCTAAACTCCCTAAACTCCCTAAACTCCCTAAACTCCCTAAACCCTAAACTCCCTAAATCCTAAACCCCAAACTCCCTACCTTCATCCCACCCTCTGAGGCCTCGCAGTATATCAAACCCCAACACCCCAGGGCTTCTGGCTCACGCTGTCCATGTCCGCCTCTTTCGTGGCCTCTCGAGTTTCAGCGATTCGGGTGCAGGGAGAGATAACTCCTAAACCCGAAACCCTAAACCCCTAAACCCTAAACCCTAAACCCTAAACCCGAAACCCTAAACCCTAAACCCTAAACCCGAAACCCTAAACCCTAAACTTAGGGTTTCATGTTTAGGGGCTTCAGGGGCCGGCACAGTTTCATGCATTCTAGCCTGCAGGGTTTAGGGCGTCGACTTCGGGGAAAGCAGATAAGCCACGAAGAGTGATGATGCCACGCGAGGGGTTTGACTTCAGTGTGAAGGACTCTGCCAAATCCTCAAAATCAAGCAGCAAGTGAACCCGAAAATTCATCTGAAGCGAAAGACATCCTAATCTTTCTCTGGGTTTCACTCCTAAATTTCCTTACATACGTCTTTACAGAAGCTAAAGCTTAGTCGGGGCTCAGGTAGTCTCGGAACCTCAACTCTAAACGCTAAACCCCTGGTCGAAAGAACCATGGCCAGTAGGGTTTAGGGTTTAGGGTNNTAGGGGTTTAAGGTTTAGAGGTTTAGGGTTTAGGGGTTTAGGGGTTTAGGGTTTAGGGTTTAGGGTTTAGGGGTTTAGGGGTTGAGGGTTTAGGGTTTAGGGGTTTAAGATTTAGAGGTTTAGGGTTTAGAGGTTTAGGGTTTAGGGGTTTAGGGGTTTAGGGTTTAGGGTTTAGGGTTAGGGTTTAGGGTTAGGGAAGCATGGCCAGAGTGCGTCGGACTCGCGGCAGGACACGAAAGTCGGGCTTATCGAAAGGACCACAGATTCGCCCCCCGTTAAGCCTGTAAGGTCTCTTGTAAGGGTTCCTAATTACAAGGTCTCGATAGGGTTACAGTAGGGGTGTTTTGGTAGGGGTGTTTTGAAATAGGGTTGATTTTATGGCTCTGGCGGGTGTACATAGACTCAATGCTAAGTATATTTTGGAGTCGTGGCAACCAGAAGGGAGGCGGGCGCACTCGGATTTTCGCTGAGGTGCATTTACTGCCATCCTCGAGCCCAGCTAAAAGCTTCGGACGAGTAATACCTCCAACTTCCAGACCACCACATTAGCCAACCCCCCCAAACCCTGAACCCTAAACCCAGGCCATTTCGGGTACCACACAAGCTCTCGGCACAAAGCAAGGCTGACGCCACAGTTGACGGCGATGTATCTGCTCAAAGAGCCCTAAGCCTTCATACCTCAACCCGAAGCCTGTTGAGGGCACGGAAGCCCTACTCCCTCCACCCCTCACCCCCTGCCCTTAACCCCCAAACTTTGAACCGCTAGCAATGCATCTAAAACCCGGCACGACCCTAAAATACCGTATAACATCCCAGCACCCAATACGCCAAGAGAGAGCGTCCTCAAGCCGAGTAAGCAATGCTTTGCAACCCACCAAACCCCCGACAGGTGCACATCGAAACAAGCGAAACCCTTTGAAGTCTTATCCACCTTGTCCAAAAGCTCGCCAAATGCTTTAGGGAAATGCTTTAGGGTGTAGGGTTTAGGGTTCGCTATCATGGTGCGAAAGAAAGACACGCTTGGTTCTAGTGGGGTCTTACTTAATACATCTGTTTATGAACATCGCTTTTGGAGGTAGGTCATAGTACAACTAAACCCTGAATCCTAAACCC